ATCAAGCCCTTGGCTCTGAAAAGGTCTCCTGACAAGTATAACGTCCTCTGACTTCAACATCTCAGAGAGGGAACCCCAACGCTTTCGGCTGCATCCTCTGAAGAGAAGGGGTGAGCAATGTGCCTCCACTGCACTCCAACACAGAAACTGTTCCCCACAGGCCCTCGTGGGAAGCTGGCTGCTCTCACCTGAGGGTCCTTAAGTCCTGCCACGTGGTGTGTTAATGAGAAAGGCCAGCCCCGGGTGGAGGGGAGCTCTGGGAGCTTTGGGTCTACCTGGGTACCTCACAAGAAAGGCCTGTTGACCCGCCAGCCCTGGAAGGCCTGGGGGGCTGTTCTCCCACACACCAGCCGCCCTTAGAGGCTCCGCGTCCAGGGCCAAGACAACTGGTTCCTCCTCCTGAGCCTCAGGTTTCTCCTCTGAGAAATGGGCTACTAACACCCACTGTGGAGAGGGGCTCAGGCGGGCGGGCCCAGGAGGCAGCCAGCCCTCCCAGGAGGGCGCTGACAGCAGCTGTTACATGGTGGGGTGACCATCCTCAGGGACAGTCCTGATCCCACTGCTTGGCGTCGTCAGGGACCAGCTGCACCAGCGCGCAGTGGCGGGGCCCCTCCCTGCACAACCCGCTCCTGGTCCCCTTGACGCACGCAGGCGGAGAGGCCGCTGCCCGGACGCTGGCGGCCTTGACTCAGCGCCACAGCTCTGCGGTTCCGCTGCGCGGTGTGTCCGCGGAGCCCTGGCCAAGGACGCGAGGGGCGGGCGGGCGCGCGTGCGCGTGTGCACGCGTGTGTACGTGCGTGTGTGTGCACGCGCGTGTGTGCATGTCCACGCGCGCACGAGCCCGCCGGTGCCGGGAGAGAGGTGGGGACGCGGCTGTCCCTCCCTCCTCCCTCGCTGCCCCCCCACCTTGGTTGCTATGCGGTTTCCATGACAGCAGCAGCCTCAGACTCAACTTTAACCCATCCCTTAGAGCCAATTAAGGTAAAAGAGTTGGAGGGGGTGCCGTGGAAGGAGGGGTGCAGCGCGCGTCCACTCCGGTCCCTGGCACTGCCTGACGGTGTGCTGCGTCTCCTGGGGCGCAAAGCGGGAAGAGAGGCCTCTGCGGACCCGGACCAGCGGCCGCCCCGCAGCCATATTGACGCCCCGGGCCCTGCGCCCCCCCACCGCCCCGCGCAGTGTGCCTCGGTTTCCCCAGCCCGGGGGCTGTGTGCGATCCCCTCCCGAGACGTCCGTCTGCCCACCTCTGCGCGTCCCGAGTCGCTGCTTCTGACCCTCCGTACTTGACCAAGGGGGAAGGAAAAGTTTCGGAAAATGCCGATCGCACAGCTGCTGGAGCTATGGAAGAAGATCGAGGTGGAGCCCATGGAGATAGAGGTGAGAGGCCCTTGCGCGCCGCGCCGCGTCCCGGCCGCCAGGGCGCAAAGGGCGCTCACCCCGGAGGGGAGTGTGCGTGCCGGACCGGTGTGTTTACTACACAGGCCCCCTCCGAGGGCACGCGCGGGGGTGATGCGAGCAGGTGCCTGGACACCAACAGGGACCAGCTGCGCGCCCTCCTTAACGCTTTCGCCTGGTTCCAATCAGACCGGCCCCGCTTGGTTTTCCTGCAACAAGTGGGAAGTCCTCCATCTGAGACAGTGAGGCGGACACCAGAGGCAGAGCAGCGCCTTGGAAGGATCCGAACCACAGGGCTAAGGAGTTCCGACAAGGCTCTCCGGCCAAGCGTAGGGGGTGGTCCACGGGGAGGAGAAAGGCGATGGCCTGACTGTGTCACAGACGCTCCCACCGAGCTGGGTCCTAATCACAGCAGCCCTGCCCTGGGTCTCCAGACTTTACACTAGGAGGAGATGGCCAGGCTTTCTCCCTTGGAGCGACTGGGGGATTTGAATTGCTGACCTTTTGATCAACAGTCTAATGTATTATGTGCCTCTCCGGCAGAGCTCCTTTAAGTGTTATACCATAGTAGATAGAAAGACAGGGTGTGCATGTAGTTATATACTGTTTTATAGACAATTAACTGCATTATTATAGTTTCGCATATATGGATATACCGTTGTTGTTTTGACTCATAGTGACCCTATGAACAATAAATTTGAGCCCTGTCCTCTCCTGTGCCATCCTCTTAATCCCGGACACCCTCAAGCTCATTGCTGCAGTCACTGTGTCAATCCACCTGGTCGAGGGTCATCCTCTCCTTCATTGTCCCCCCAAGCATGATGTCCCTCTGCAAGGAATAGCCTCTCCTCACAACATAACCAAACTATGTGAGTCAAAGCTCCATCATTTTTGCCTCAAAGGATCACTCTGACTGCACCTTATCCAAGACATAGCTGTTTGTCCTTTTGACAGTCCATGGGGTGTTCAGTATTCTTCTTCACCAGCTCAAAGGCATCAATTCTTCTTCTGTCATCCTTAATCATTGTCCAGCTCTCAGATGCATGACAAGTGACTAAAAAGACCATGGCCTGAATTAGGTGCACCTTAGCCCACAAACTGACATCATTGCCCTTCAGAGCTTATAGAGAGGTCCTTGGCTACAGACTTTCCCGATCTCCCGATCTCCTGACTGGTGTGTATGTGTATATATAGTGTTAAAGAAAATGAACTGTAAGTGCTATGTAGTGTGAACATATAGTACTGAGAGATAGATGTATAGATAGATATAGTGATAGGCAAGGAACTGTAAATATTATAAAACAATAGCAACACCCCCCCCCCAGACGCTCCTTGAATAGACCCTCCTCGTGATGACCCTCCCTCAGATTCCCAGCCTGTAAATGCTGAGAGGACACTGTCCACGTTTCTCCTTCAGGGCTGCTGGGGAGCTCCAGGCACCTGGGATGCACCCCTTTCTGTTGGCAGGACGACACATCAAGTGCTTCCCCTCCAGGGCTCCTCTGCTGCAGACACAGTGGATGTCAGATGTGTCTGTTGGTGTTGCTGCCCCTGTGGAACCAGGACCAGCTCATAGCTGACCCTCTTGTGGGTTTTCAGAAGCAGTAAACTTCATGGAAGGAGATTGCCCATCCTGTTCCCATGGGGCAGCTGGTGGATTTGAACCACATGCCTTCAGTTTGGCAGCACAGCTTCTTACCAGTGTTGTTGTTGTTAGATGCTGTCAAGTACAACCCACAGGGACCCTCTGAACTGCAGATCTGAACACTGTCCTGACCTGCGCCCTCCTCACAATTCCTGACACACTCAAGCCACTGCTCCGGTCAGTGTGTCAGTCCCTCTCGTTGAGGGTCTTCCTCTTTCACTGGCCCTCCGCCTTTCCAAGCTTGATGTCGCTCTGTAAGGTACAACCTCTCCTAGCAACATGTCCAAAATACGTGAGACGAAGTTTCCGCATCCTTGTGTAACACTAGGCCATTGTCCGTTCGTCTCCCAAAAGGCAGCGGAGCCACACCTCCCTGGCAGTTCCAGCCCAACGGACTCTACAGGAGAAAGATGGACAGTCTCCTCCAGTGAGACTCACGGTTTCGGAAACTCAGTGGACAGTCGGCAGGAGGCAGCACGCGGAGGGCTGTGCATTGAGTTCTGAGTGGTTCTGTTTTATCACAGTTCAGATGCTGTGTGAGGACCTCTGTCTCAGTCGCTTAACCTCCAGGAACCACAGGTGTGGCCTTGGCCCTGCCTCAGTCATCTCGCCCGCGCGCTCTGCTCTTAATGTTCCGAATTATGGTTTTCTGTGTACTTGCTGCATAATGTGGCTTCATTTTTGTGATTTGAAGCCAAATGAAAGATTTTGGAAGACAACCTACTGCCTCCTGTTAAATATTTTCATCAGGAGTGGAACGTCTTCGTCCTGCCTGGGATGGTGGTGGAGTCTGCAGGAGATGGCCGAGCCCTGTGTCTGCATTACTCCATTGGGGCACATTCCCCCCACCGTGGGGATTCGGGGGGAGGCAGCATCACCCCTGAATGGCTCCTGATTGCTCTGCACTGAAGACAAAGCCTCAGACTGGGCTGCCTGGGAGGTGCTGCCTGCCTTTCACAGCTGCAGGAAAGAGTGTGTGTGTGTGTGTGTGTGTGTGTGTGTGTGTGTGTTCAGCCACAAGTTCTTTTTCCATTTCCTGGTGCGTCCTAGCAGCCCTCAGAGTGTCTGCACTCTGGTCCGTGTGCTCCTTGGTATTCAGACCTGCACTGTGAGCCGTCCAAGGTCACAAGGTCCAGTGTTCGGGTCTGCAGGCCAGCCAATACTGGAGGGGAAGGGGGCCTTGCAGGAGTCTGGGGGCCGGGATCCTGGTACTGTCACAGCACAGTCCCTGTGGAGCGGAGCTGGAGGCAGCAGCCACCACTCAGGCCTCAGGGCCGGCTCTGCTGGGCCCTCCCAGGGGGTGGAGGTTTCAGGACCCCAGTTGGACAGAGTCCTTCCCACCAAAGGGGACCCCTCAGCAGAGATCTGAGAATCTGCAGATGCCACGGAGAGGAGGGCCTGTGTGTTTGGTTCTGGGAGGCGTCTGACCTCTGACTTGCTGGTGTTTGAGGTTGTCTTGTGTTTAAATGCCTCACATCTCAAGACACTGAACAAAACTAAACCCGTAAGAGCAGAACAAAGCAGTCCTCTCACTCCGTCCCCTGCTCTGCTGGAGCCTCACGTGTGTCTGGGGAGCTGAGCTCCGTGGGGTTTTAGGGGCTGATTTCTTAGTAGCAGATAGCCAGGCCTTTCTTCTGAGGTACATCAGGGAGACTCCAGCTCCCCACAGGCCGCTGAGTATGCTGCCTTTGCCCGGGGACCTGAGCAGATGCCGGGAGAGCCTGGAGGGAAGAGCACACGTGAGGTGTGTGGGGCTTCCACGGAGAGTCTCTTGCTCTCTGCGCACGTAGCCCCGGGGTGCTGGGTCCCTGTGTTCAGCAGCCCTGGGACTAGTTCAGTCTCTGACCAATCGAAGAGCAGCTTTCCTGTTGCTGTCTCAAGAAATCAGGGCACAGAAGTTAAGAGGGTCCTGGGTCCCCTTTATCTGATTGTCTTCAGCAGACGGTGGGGTGGGGCCCTCAAAGAAGGCCCAGGTGGCTCTCTGGGTCACTTGGCAAAGGTTTGGGTGCTATGTTTTAGGACTAATTAGGAAACACTAATGAAACGCTGGATCGGTTTAGAATCCCCCTCAGATCCAGCATCAGAGGTGCACGGACCCCATCCCGAGCCGGGCCTCAGAGCATTAAAAGATCCTCTGTCTCAAAGCTGGGGCAGTGACATCCCTCCTCATCCTGTGGGCCTCCAGGCACTGGGAGACGGGGGTGGGAGGCCAGCCGTGTGCCAGGCCGCCAGTTCAGCTGACCCTTTGAAGGAGCTAGTGTGAGTCCTCGCTGCTGGGATGTCACGATGCGTTAGAGAACAGTGATCTGTGACTTCGAGCAAAGCAGACAAAACGTGATTCTGAAGACTCAGTGTCGAGGAGGCAGGGTGACCACTGTCTTGGGCTGCTGGGTGGGAAGATGACCTGACACGGCCTTAGTGACCCTGGAGACCACCCCCTCCCGCCATGAGCTCCGGGCCCTCAAGTCTGAGCATAGTCCGGCTCGGGTCATCCAGGTCTGCAGTCCTGACAGCAGCCAGCTGCACCAAGGCCCTGGTCTCCTGTCTTCTGACCACATGGCACCTGTGTGACAGAGTGGAACTGCCCCAAGGGGCCACCAAGATTGTCATCTTCATAGAGGCAGCGGAACCACTGATGGACTCGAGACGCTAACTGTCCAACACACAGTCCTCTGTGCCACCACAGGCCTTGTTTAAACCCTTTGGGGCACAAACACCACGTTTGTGTTTTCTGGGGTTGTGTCTGCACGTCAGAACCTTTTCAGGTGTCATCTGGGCTCAGACATTGCTGTCCCCTCCTGTCACTGTCTTGTTTTAGCCGGTCACTGCCTTCACGTGACAGCTTGCCCTCTGCCCACCCAGCCAACCAGCAGGCCACACGGACCCCCTTGCTTCCCTAGCTCCCTGCCCTCAGGTACACACCCCGGATCTGCTCACGCTGGCGATCCGATCACAGCCTTGCCTGCTGCCTGCTTGTGAAGCCGGGGGCAGCGCAGGCCCTGGGCTGGAGTCCTCACCTTCTGTGTGGGAGACCCAGGTTCGATTCCGGGCCCGTGCACCTCATGCTTGGCCCTGCCCACTTGTCCACGTTGGGGGCTCACAGCTTAGACCAACAAGGAAGGTTTGGTGGGGAGCTTCTGAAAGCAGCAGTGGGGGCCATAGGTGTCACCCAGCTCCCTCTTCCACAGCCTGGCCCAGTGTCCTCCATGTGCGTGGGGTCAACATGAGTCAGGCGTTGTTAACAGTTCGGTCAGTGACGGCTGGACCAGATGCGCCCCTGGCGCAGAGCATCTCATTGTCAGGTGCTGTCCGGCCAGCTGGGACTCGGTGAGGGGGGCACAGCACCCTGGGGCCCTGCTCCCCTCACACTGCTGCGCTCCCAGCAGTGTCTCTCACGCTCCTGTGCTGACCCTCTGTGTTTCCAAGCGTGACATCCTTCTCCAGGACCCAGCCCCTTCTCATGACCTGCTAAAGTGTGTCAGAAAAGGCAGCCGTCCTTGCTTGTCAGGGCCCTCCACCTGCCCCTCCTCCAAAGCAGACGTGCTCTTGTCGGGCCTCGGTTCCTGGACGTTAACGACAAGTTCATTGTCGAGAGAAGGGAGGTTGGAAACAAGTGTCAGGTTCTGTCAGGACGGGTGCTCGGCTGTTCCCCTGCATCCTGACTGCCTGGGGGGCCGTTACTGATGCTCTCGTCCTGACAATGTGTCTCTCTCCCCAGACGGCGGAGGAGGACGCTAACCTGGACACGGAGACAGCCGCGGAAGACACCTCGGAGGAAGTGACCGTATGTCCTGCTGCTGCCTGCTTATGGGGGTTCGGGGGCTGGGAGGAGGGGGCAGGGGAACCTCGAGATCGATAGACCGTGGGGTTCCATTGGCACCACCCGCACACGCATGTACGTGCACATGTCCTGTGTGTGCACGTCGTAGTCACGGACTCCCTCGGAGACCCGTGTCCTTGGAACCTGGAAGGGGGCTGCTCACTGAGGTGAAGCCCCCCTCTCCGGAATGGTCTTTGTAAAGGGGGCTCGGGCACTGTTAACAGAGACGGCGAGCTGATGCCCAGGGGGCCCGAGAGCAGGCGCTGGGCGATTCCACATGGTGTGAGGTCAAGGATGTGGCTTCTCCCAGTGCTGGGGTTCGCTCAGCCCGGGGAGTGGTGGAGGTGAGGGTAGGAAGGAGTAGCCTTTCCCACAGACATGAGAGGCTCCAGGGCCCCAGGCCACAAGGTTGAGCAGCTAGTGAAGGAAGTGAGGTGCTTCTGGAGTGATCCCCTAAGAGGGGGCCCGGCAGGGGCTGTGCTCATGGCATCTGGCAGCGAATCCAAACGTCATAAGTTCAAACCCACCAGCAGCTCCACAGGAGAAGGGAAGCAGTCAGCTCCCTGAAAGATGAAGAGACCCCGGAGCTGGACCACTGTGTCCTGCAGGGTCACTAAGGCCGCACTGACCCGATGGGAGTGTGTTGATGGTTGTAATACCAGAAGGAAGAAATAAAAGGAAGGACAGAGAATTAGCTGTTGCTCACTGTATATTTCTGATTTTCACGCCGTGTGCTAGAATGTTCCCGAGCCAGAAAAATGGTTCAAGTCCAAGAAAAATTGGTGTCATAGGAGAGAGTGGTGACGAGGACATGGGCGAGGAAGAGGTGGCCAGTAGAGGGTGAAATCAGCGTGGACTCGACCCTCCTGCCGCGGAGTTTGGTTGACGGACTGTATTTCCGTCTCACAGAGGAGATCCTCAGAGGGTGGTGGTACAGGGAGTTGGCAGGCCGCCTTAGCAGAGGTGACGTGTGTGTAACGTGTGTGGTGACCCAGAATAGATGGCAGATGTTGTAGATGGGGAGAGGTGACAGCTTCCAGAAATGGTCTACTCAGAGGCCTCTGTCACGCCAGCCACCTCAACAAGTCACGTAGTGTCAGCCTGCAGCCACTGTGGCCCGTGACCAGGTGGCAAATGAGGGACAGGCAGACGAAGCAGAAGGCACTGTGGCTCTCCTGCAGCTGACCGTCCTTCGGAAGCTGGGCCAGCTGCTCGGCTGACTCTGCCTGGACACTGCCCGACTTTACAGTCCTCTTGCTGTCTGGCCACGTGCTCATGTCGACCACTCAGAGTGTAGCCATCGCCCAGCTCTGCAGAGGTCGCAGGGGGTCTCGACCTGCTACCTGGGACTTTGACAGAGGGAGGGATGTTCACATCAGTGCCCTGTGACGTGGGCAGTGGTGGTGGAAGTGGCTTTGGCACCTGATGGCTGTGTGTGTGTTGTGTGATTGTCATGACACTCACAGTAACCCTGTATGTGATGGTCTTACGTGACATTCATGACCCCATGGTGACCTGTGTGTGATGGTCTTACGTGACGTTC